AGAGGAAATAAAACGAAATAGCACAACCACTATAAAGGGTGCGAAAGCTCGGGGAAGATGGGAAAGGCCGCTGTCCTTAACCGGCCCGTGACTAGCTGCTCCGTCGCCGCAGCCGCCGCGATTCTCTTCTCTGGAGCTCTTCTTCTCTCTTCTTTCGTCCTCCACGGCGATCGCTCACTCTTCTGCTCCCTCCCCTCCCTACAACGCTCTCCTTCCTTAGCCGACGAGCTCCACTCTGCCCTCCTCCACTACGCCACCTCCTCAATCGTCCCCCAACAATCACGATCGGAGATTTCAATCTCCTTCAACATCCTTCGCCGCCGTTCCCCCTGCAACTTCCTCGTCTTTGGCCTTGGTCACGATTCCCCTATGTGGTCCGCCTTCAACGCCGGCGGCACAACCGTCTTCCTCGAAGAAGATCCCAAATGGTTTCAATCCGTGCTCCGCGAATCCCCGACCCTCCGTGCCTATAACATCCGTTACCCGACCAAACTATCGGAGGCCAACGATCTGATCCGCACCTACCGATCCGAGCCGGAGTGTCTCCCTCCGCGCGCGCATCTAAAGGGGAATAAACGATGCCGCCTGGCGCTAGCCGATCTGCCCGACGAGATCTATAAAACCGAATGGGATCTGATTATGATTGATGCGCCAAAAGGTTACTTCGCGGAGGCACCGGGGAGAATGGGGGCGATCTATTCCGTCGCGTTAATGGCGAGAGCGAGGCGGGGAGAGGGGGTCACCGATGTATTCCTTCACGATGTTGAACGGAATGTGGAGAAAACCTACGCGATGGAGTTTCTATGCAAGAAGTACCTTGTCGAAGGTACCGGCCGTTTATGGCACTTTCAGATCCCGCCGACTAGGGGTAACGAGACCTCGAGCGGGGAGGGTAAGTTTTGCTGAAGCTTGCCCGATTGCTTTGAAATCTTATCTTGAAGAGGATCTTGGAGGATATCGTTAGCAATTTTCATTCATTTTCTCCCTTTGTCAAATTTAAAACTGCCATAGTCAGAGTAATTACTTCGTATTTATGCCTTGACGTGTACTATTAGTGTAACTTAACTTGAGAAAAATACCGAAGCATATTTTATTTTCATCGATCACCATGACGATACTGGCATAATAAGCTATTTTTATTTATATTATTATTATTATTATTAGTAAGCGTTTGATATTGCTTTTTATTTCCCTTTT